TTATACCTAAGTCCAAAGCCAGCTTTGTTAAATTTACTATTAGATCATAAAATATCGTCAACTTTAAATATTTACACTGCAACATTTCATTAATATATAAACAAGCGTACTCCAGCCCTTACACGCATAAATTGTTATTATTTTATACTTTTTGCTTTCTAATACATATAATATCGTGTCAATGTGTACTTCTAAATTGTAAATGTTCATGTTTTGTGTAAACTGAATCCAATTGAGACTAGTGACAAGGATAAGGACCAAAGTGCCTGTACGGCTTTTTCGGCCCCCTGTGGACCACTACTCTTGAAATCACTCTACAACATTGAACATTTATATCTACTACGTCATTTGGCAATTATTATCATTAATCTGACTGTCTTGCCGGGTGGGAAGAGTAAACGCTTCACATTAAAATACAACATACAAAATCCGAAACCATCAACACGGGCACGGTTAGTAAATATCATGGACAATTTGGTATAAATCTATTTCGTAGTAATATCTTCAGTCTTCACATTCTTAATACTATAATGAAGTACAGTAGGATATATGTTTCGAGAAAGAAAGGTTGGTCAAACTATTAACAAAAGTAGACAAAAGTCCATCAGGGACTCCGTGGAGTCGAAAAAGGTACACGGCCGCTGTCTGGTGCTGCTATGCATTTATTGATCAAGATGTTTTATTGTATTGGTTTATGATGATTCTATTGTTCGTGACTAATAATGGAGGTATAAAGTGCTGCTTAAGATACTTCGTCATCTCATGTCCAGTATAATGATTAAGATAGTATACAATACAGTTTCAGTAGTTGACCCATACAGTTAAGTCCGCCATAACTCACAATCGTTTAAACGTCTGTCAATTGTCATTAGAAGACATAAGGAAACTAATTGGTTCATTGCCATATAGTAGCTGTTGCAAGAAAAGTTTATAAATTAGGGCCACAAATTTACCATTATATTCATTTAAATACAGTCGAAGCTCTTTGTACCGGACATCTCGGGGAAAAAATAAGTGCACGTTACGGAGGTTCATGTTCTCACAATTCAAAGTATCTGTAGACAATTATAATAGCCTAGTACCCCCATTAGAGCCTTAAATGTACGCATTGTGTCGTATTGTGATAAAATGCAGCTCAATATGTATCGAAATCACCAACCAAATAAGATATAAACTATGAGAAATCACCTCTCTTATGCAAAGCTCATTAACTCAACGTTTGCGGGAAAAGAATAAGCCCGGTATATCGAGGTACCCGGTATAGAGAGGCCCGGTATAGAGAGGCCCGGTATAAAGGTTTATCTAAATTAACCTATTAGCCCCACACCGCAAGTTTAACTTTATACTCCCTCTAATACAATGATTACAGTCCCAATACAATCAATGCTGCCGTATCTAGGCCAGTTTCTATTTACAACTTTTACTTGCTTGCCATTTGGACTTTGGTATTACGTTTGGACTTTGGTAGGAGCAAAACAGTGACATGCGCATCACTCACACCCGCTTCGCCATTGCAACAAACATCTAAATTAGTTTAAGATCGGAGTGTCCGCCATATAATGCATTAAACTTCCTGTGAAATATTTATCAAAATGATTTGTTTTTGATGGTTAAACGCCTTACGGGTATTTCCTGCTCGATACAATTGAACAAATAATCAATTAAACAAATAATCAAAGTTTTAGCACATTTTACAGCATAAAATTTAAACAAATGAAAACATATAATGCTCTTAGTGGTATTAATGGCCGTTTGTTCTGAGCTGTATGATTTTTTGACAATCAACTAGCGGGGCAAGGAATGTACTGGCTGGTAGCTTTTGTACACACCAGAACGCTAGTCTGGTTGATTAGTGACCAAATTAGAGGCGTTGATGGGAAGGCATTATAATTTGTGGGTGTAAGAGGGAATATTTGGCATGCATTATTCTAGCAGCTATTTTGTAACAAATGGTCTTTACGATTATTAAGGACGGTAAGTATTTTGGGTGTTCAATACTAAATCATGGCTAAATGTCTAAGTGGGGGTTTAAATTTAAGGGAGAAAAAGAAATGAATATTGGGTTATAATATTATAACGATGGGGAGTGTAAGTACACTTCCATGGATAGGACATATTTTTTATTTTAACCTTAAAATTTAGAATTAATTAAAAGCAGTTGTAAGTGTTGGTATGGCATATGATTTAACAGGTGATACTAGTAAAATATTTGTTCCATATATCCAACTCGGCGCGCGTCCTGGTAGGTTGTAAACTTACAACATATGATTCGACTTTTTGTCCATTGTTGATAAACTGACCAGGCGCGCGCTACTTCGCAGCACTTTGCCTGTTTAAATGCCTCACGCGCTACTTTAAAAAACTTAAACACGCGTCGTCGGTTAAAATATTTTCTCCAAACACCAAACAAAGTCATAAAAAAATATTCGGCTTAAAATTAAACTATTTTTTATATCTTTCATGATTGAAGTCAAAAATCATTTATCATTTATAACTAAAGCATTCTCGGTGTTGTAGGTTTATAACGTACTATTGTAGCGCGATGCGTTACTGTGCCGCGCCGCGCACTCAACGAGGCTTATCTCGCTAGATCGGCGAAATTGGAAATGCGCTACTGTTAGGAGGTGCACCATAAAAATAAACTTGCTCGGATTTTAAAAATTTTTGTATCATTGTTTTCTAGAGACTGTGAGAATTTTCACAATACCAAATTTGTCATTCCTTTTTGGAAAGATCAGTGAGTTTCGCCTAGGTGCCATATTTGATGGTGCGCGGCTTTTGGAGCAAAATTAGCTGTAAAAGTCGCGTAATTTGACCAAATTTGACCAAATTCGTTGATTTTTGTTGTATTATTTGGATATATCTTCAGTTCCTAGAATGAGATCATTCTGAAAATTGGCGACGACCTTCCAATAGAGCTTTAACAACTGTCCGAAAAATTTGGTGGATATCGGAGTTGATATAGTGATCAAAATGGTGCAAAATACGCTGCTTTTAGCTGTAACATAATGTCTGACGGTTGGATATGCTTTAAACTTTTCGGACACCTTCCTTGTAAGTCTATGAGTAAACTTACCAATTTTTGTTGCAATCGGAGGTCGGGAAGGATACTTAATATCTATTTGTTTGAAGAAAATTGTGCTGGCCGAAATTAGCGCTAAAAAACCATCCTACAGTCGGCACGCGCGGCTCACTGTCGATGGCGCACTACCTACTACTGTGCCATGTGCCGCGCCGAGCTGCGATGAATTGACATCGTCAATTAAAACCTACCAGGACGCGCGCCGAGTTGGACTCGTCGATGGTCCTGGAACAAATATTTTACGAGTACTACCCGTTAACCTCGGTGCTCAGCAAATATATAAATATATGCAAATTAATAACTTATTTGCCATTTGTTATTTGCTACACGTTGTATACCTCTCTTGTGCACGCAAAGCATGCACTTCGGCCTTGTCGTACGTTGTATGTTGTATGACCCGCCGCGCACGAGTGCGCGGCTCCCCTGTATCGTAGAAACTTTACACTATAGTGAAACACTTTACACTATGGCATATGGTGAAACGACTACTATTGCACAAACAATTTGGGTACATATTCTATTAGGATGATGATTAATCACTCTACACTCGACTGTCACGTGACTTTTTAAACACGTTCTCTTGGTTGCCCTGAATGACTATTCGAAATCATAGCCCTCTAATCTGATGCCAACCTTAACCCTAACCCAATCCCTAACAAAAGCATATGCTGAAACCCTAACCCTAACGAGAAATTCGACCAACTTCCTTATACGGTCATATCACGTGATCAAGACAGTTTTTCGCAAATATCTCGGCAGGGGAGCATTTTAACCCTATGTCATGGGGGGTGATTCGGAATCAGCGGCCGAAAATACATCGATTCAAGCTGGTTTCAACTGTCGGGGGCCATTTTAGAATAATCTCGAAGATCGACTGTAGAGTGATTTAGCACGCTCGATTCTATTACGGACTTTTGTCTGCGTCCTGCCAGCTATTGAAACCAGAAAAGGTCCGTCCAGGCTTAATTTGACGGATGTTACTCGTCTAAATTTCTTCGAAGTAGCGCGTGCCGCTTTCTTCTCGATGGCACGAGCTACGAAGTAGCGCGCGCCGAGCCAGATCATTAAGAATGGTCAAGGCTCAATCCATCAGGAAGGCATGACCGTTTTTATAGCAGCGTCTATAAATGCCAGAATTTCCCCTTAACCCCTGGTTGGGAGAAACAACTCATCTTCATTTTAATAGAGATACATTCTGGTACTTTTTAGGGCTGGCTTCAGCATTATATTCAGGACTGCTGGATGAACCTTTTGTTTCGTTCAGAAACTCATATGCGATCTCTTGTTTCTTTTTGTGTTTCTTAACCTTGACAATACAGGCTAACAGTCTCCACGACGTTCGAAAACCTGATTAACGCTACCGTGTAACTATATTGCAGTAAATTTATTCGAATATTCTAAGAATTGCAACTTTAATACAAATATTGAAAATTCCCGAAAATCGGGAATTGAGAAAATTTCCCGGTCGGGAATTCACGACGTCGACCGAAAATCGTAGGGAAATCCCGGGATTCGGGAATCCCGATGTCGGGATTGAAATCACTATGCGGCATCAATAAATACTTGGTCAAACTTGTTTTGTCATTTTCTGGTCTCGATAACCACCTCACAACTCCTTCGATGATAAAAAAGTTTCTAGCTAATGAGTGGGAATTAAATGTGGAGACACTTTACAAATACAGGGTAGAAATTCAGGTATCAGTGATGTATCATTCGCAGTTCGCAACATGACATAGTCATAGTTCACAGTTTGATTCCCGGCACTGCCTTTATGTTTAAGTAAGAATAAGTAATTTGGAAGAATTTGAACTTGTAACATATTCGCTGGTGGCTAGTTATTTCAATTATGAATATGAACTTTAACTAATTAAGCCGCCAATCCGACTGAAGATCGAAAAGAAAAAAGAAAACAAGTATCTATATTTTTCGTTACAAAAGGAATTTATACAATTTTGGTACATCAAAAAGTGGAATTTACATTTCCTCTGGTAGGTATGAAACTTTACAAAACTTAGAGTTTCATATTCAGTTGAACGACAATCGCCAGAAAAACATTGTGATTACACAAACATCTCAAACATTCCGTTTATGCATTTTTTTGAAATTTAAAATACTAACGATTTTCATAAAAATTCACGTATAGCGCTTTGAAGGCAAATAACTAGCATATACCGAATATCATACAAAATCATAAAAATCTCGATTCATTCAAGTCAATAATTATCTCAACATACGAAAAATGTGCATGCCTTTTTGACTGCCATAAAACAGAATAACAACGATTAAAGTCATTAATGAACAAATGCAAAGGATCAAAATGCACTCAGCGATTGGTATCGTACTTTCCCAGTATTTGATTCAAGCTGGGATACAATTCGCTGCACCCCGAATTCCAGTTCAATTTCAAATAGATATAAAATCAGAACAGAATGAAAGCGTTTTGCCTTCTTTTGCGATTGCAAACATTACATCCCATTATTAGTTATAAATCATTATCATTCTTAGTGAGTCATCTAACAAACTCCATCATGGTTTTAGCTCGTATGTTACCTATCTAATTAGTACCATCATCCAAGGTTTCTGCAAAGTTCCCAGAAACTATTGAGTGGTCCTTATCACAGTCAGACATCCAATGAAAATACACCCAAATGGACATTCTTCCTGATGCATGCATTAACTATCACTGAGCTTCATTGATCTTGAAGAGGTACCGTAACCCAGAGAAATTCCTTCTGACAAAGCGTGCATTATACATCATAACAAAGAACAATTTCTCCTTGCCGAGTCTTTCCGATGAATTTCCAAAGGATGATTATTATCAGCTGGAAGCTCTGGAGTAGATTTCCAAGCGGAATCTATAAACTAAACCTAAACTGTTTTGTCCTAATTATAGCATTTCTGCAGCGTTCAAATCGACCAACCTCCTATATCCCGACAGCCTTTTCATCAATAAAAACTAAGAAATCGCACTGACATAACTTTCCAAACTGATGGACTTAATCTTTTTTTCAACATAGCACCAGGAACTCAATACACTTAAGAGCTGAGAGTTGCGAGTTTAGCGTCACGTGACGACAAGACACCTCACCTTCCCTCCGATAATCTCGTGTTTATTTCCTTGGTTAAAGTAATTCGGTGACCCAGTTTTGTAATTCCAAGTTCTTTAAGATCACCCTTTGTTAAGTCAAGCAGGTTAGGACCTGAGCGGGAAGGGGATATTAGCTGAGATAATGGGTTAAATTAAGAGGGAGCAGAAAAACAAACTCTGGAAAGCTCTTAGAACAGAAAGAGGAATATAACCTTAAATTGAAGGAAAAGTGAAAGGGAATTGTGAAAGGGGAGTGTTATTTCCATGAAGCAGGTTATACCTTTAATGTCATTTTCCATGAAGATACTCTTGTATTCTCCAAGACCCAAACCACAGAGCCACTCAGCCACATCAGCTGCCTCCCAGTCTTCGACCTACAACAGGGAATCAAACTTTAAATAACAGTGCTTATACCAAGTGAGATGAGAGTAAATAAAGCGCCCAATCAAGTTTTTAAAACCAATTCAAAGTAGAATGAAAATAAATGAAATTATATCGATAGTATGTTTAATTGTTTAATCTAACGAAGTGGACAATTTGATTGTTATTTTCTTGGCAACTTTTATGATACATTAAGACACTTACGTGTTTTCCATTCTGTATAAACCCACTATCATAACTCTCATTGTCCTCTTTGTCTCCTTCTGGTTCCTTCTCACTGACTTGTTGTTTTACAGGCTCTGGTTCTTTGACCACAACAGGTGCTACAACGACAACTGGTTCTGGCTCTTTGACCACAACAGGTGCTACAACGACAACTGGTTCTGGTTCTTTGACCACGACAGGTGCTACAACGACGACTGGTTCTGGTTCTTTGACCACAACAGGTGCTACAACAACAACTGGTTCCGGTTCTATTGGCGGTGTTGGTTCGGTGGGCGGATCTGGTTCGCTAGGTGGCGGTGGCGGTGACGGTGGGCAGATTGGTTCCGCAGCCGGCGGTGGCGGAGGAAGGTCGTCTGGAGGTGGTGGAGGTGGTATGACCGTTGGCGGAGGCGGAAGTTCGTAGTTGTGTACCTTTTCTCCAGGTAGGATACTTCCCCGCTTTTTCCGCATCTCAGCTGCTTTTCTCGCGATACTGAGGTGTTCAATGGTGAGTTATCTAAAACACTCAGAGATTCTCATTGATCTCCAGTTGAATTTCAGTCCGCTAACTTTCTTGCCTTATTTACAACTTAGGAGGCCAGAGTGCAGCATAATCTAACGGTAAAACTAAAATTAACCATATTATTAGAGTATGAACAATAATTGTTAGCAAAAGATATGGCTACCGAGGTAAGCATCCAGAATGTCCAGCTATTTGCAGAATGCAACCGCCTTTTTTAAATAGCTAGCAATTTCCCCTTTTTGATAGCTAGCAAGTTCTTCAAGTTAAGTAGCAGTACGACTCAGTAATTTTATTTATTTTGTAGCATTGGTGGCAGAAGTGTACGCTACCTGTTTTCATCCAATTCTGCTACTTGATAATAGTATATTATGTAACGTAAACTGCAGGGAAGTGGTCAACTTTAAGCTAAGAACTAAGTAGGCTATTACTTGGTTACTTAAAGATAATGTTAAGAGCTGGTCCGAAACAAGATGCCATAAATAGTAATTATTCGAAACATTCGTATAAATTTGGAGCCTTCTTAATCTTAGTCTTAGGTGCTTATATAATAAACGATTCCATGGTAAATACATAATAGTCATTTCTACAGAAACTTACTCTTCAGCAGATTTAGACTTTGTAATGGGAGGCTCGTCAAGAACTGGTCTGTTATCTGGGGACCGGCTCACTAGTAGTTTAGGTGGCTCGCTCTGGGTGGACTGCATGCTGCCTAAACTCTGGTTATCATGTTGTACACTTGTCAACCTGCAGGGACACATCTTCAATACCCAGTTAGCAACATTCCTGACAATCCTCAGCACGCGCCAAGTAGAAACCAACATTCTTTAGTTACATAGGAAGCGATACAAATTATTAAATCATAAATGTGGCTTCATCATTCTTGGATACCAAATTTAATAGGGTTAGAAGCTTATAGAAGTACAGAGATACAAATATTAAGAACAACATACCTCTTCCTCTGCTCAATAAGCTCAGCAGCAGTGTTTTGGGGTATGACTGGTACCATCTGGACAGCTTCCTCCTTTTTCTGAAAGAACACAAAACTCTAAGCGAATGCATTCAACTTGTAGCATATCATTCAAAATCAGTCATAGTCAGTCATTTAAGTTACTAAAATTCAGTAGAAGTTGTTCAGTAAAAACAATAACAAATAAGCATTTTGCAGTGTACACCTATAAGGTTAACTGAGAACGGCGACAGACGAAACAACACAAACAAAGAGACGAGCAGCGGAGGTACCTTCTTACAAACTGAGCACTTGCTTCTTGAGGTATACTTGTTACAGTTTGGGCACAACCACTGCTGCTTCTTGGGCATGTGACAATTCTCACAGAAATCTTGAGACCCAGAATTAGTGGTCTGACAACTTTCGCATGTCCACGTCTTGTTCTTGGAAGATTTCTTTGTTGCTTTTCTGTCTTTGTCATCTTTGTTCTTGGAGCTTTTCTTCGATTTCTTTGATTTGATCCGGTCACCTTTGTCTCCCTTAGCGTTAGTATTTGTACCTTCTCGAGAGCTTAAAGAATAACCATTAATCTTTGATTGGTCCTCTAGATAATCAGAATCTTTAGCTGCATCTGGTTTAATGTTATCAACTTTACCATTTTCAGAAGACTTTTCCCTTTCCAGAGTGGTGGTGGGTCGAACTCTGCCAGAGACTGAACCAAAGATAGCAGCCTTCATAATAGCTGTTGTCCTGTATCTGGTGTTATCTTCTTTCTTTGCTTCAGCTGGCTTTTGTAAAGAGCTTGAATCTACCTTTTTAAGTTCAACTTCTAGAGCAAGTTCGTGGCTGGATTTGGGTTGCTTAAGTATCGAATTTGAGTCTACTTTTTTCAGTTCAATGTTTTGAATCTCAATATCCGGTTCAGCAGGCTTGGGAATGGAATTTACTTTTGTAAGTTCTATATTTGCAGGATCAACGTTTTTAAACGATATCTGCTGATGATTTGTGTCCACCTCTTTTCTTTCAATACTATTTATATTGTTGGTAGGTTCGACTTGAAATTGTTGGGGAGGGGTATTCGATTGTACTTTTCGCAGCTCTATACTCAACGACTCGGATAAGTGACCGTTCGCTGGCTGAGTTCTTAAGTTGCGTTTAAGGAACTTTCTGTTTTACAAGTTTTTGAGATGATCAAATCAGGTGGTGGTGGAGGTAGATCATCTACATCATCTCCAAATATCAAGGTACTGGCAGTGGTTTTGTATTTGACTGTAACTGCACCATTCAATTTCCCTGTGCTAGAATTTGCATTAACTGGACTAGGATCTGTTGAAGCCCTCTTCAAGTTGCTAGTTCTGACTGGTGGAGTTGGTTGGGTTACTTTAGACGCCGAAGTTGACCTAATAGGAGGGTCCGGAGCAGGTCGAGATGAAGTTACTGACGGGACAGAGGAAGTGTGTACCAGCTTGCGAACAGGTGCTTCATTGGACGAGTTGGTTTGACAGGGAATTGGTTTGGGTAGATTTGTTCGAGGAGGTTTTTGTACAACTATTTTGCTCAAAGTGGAGGTGCGTGTAGGTGGAGGCGGTTTACTCTTGTTAACTTCAGAATCTTTACTTGTGTGAGGTATTGGGGCCTTCACTTTGTTTGGTATGATGTTGACTGTATCAATGTTAGAGGGTGTTGTGTATATTGGGTCTGTTACCCCGGCAGTGGGTGTTACTCCCTCATTGTCTGGGAGAGGTGGAGGTAAGTATGTTGGAGTTGGTAGGGAAATTGTTGATGATGAAGAATCCAACTCGTTATTTCTTTGAACAGAAAAACCATTATCTTCTTGAAATTGTATCTTGTTTGATATCACATTGCCTGAAAGGTTGGTTTGATTTGTGACTGAAGGCTCCTGCAAAGTTTCAACGATACTCTTCCTCTCAACTTGCTCCGGGCTATTCTCCGGACTTACATAAGGACTGGTTTGAGTACCGCTTGTCACGTTTGTTTGCGTTGATATCTCCACAGAGTCCAAAAATCTGAAAAATGACGACACGCTACCGCACTCACTACTTCCAGATTCGAATGAAGCAGAGTCATCATAATTATCCTCTTCCTCCTCTTCCTCCCGCGCTTTTCTCATCAAAGCTCCGCCTTGAGAAGCGGACATAGTATTATAGCGTTTTACATGACTATCACTCTCATCATCTTCAGCCTCCTTGGCTCTCCTTTTTAAAGCATCAATCTGAGCAGCGGATAATGTATGGAACCTATTAATATGGGACATAAAGTCAGGTTCAGGTTCATCCTCCTCCACGATACCACCACTTAATGATTGATAACTAGATCTTCGTCGAGCAGAATAGCTGTTATTCGGGTGCGGGGTGGTGCCAGTAGACAGTTTAGATAGTGTCATTATTTCAGATGGCATGTAGGTGCCCTGGAGGGTGGTAAAGTTGCTCATTCCAAGTAGTATTACTAAGTGACCAAAAATTCGATGTAAAAATTTGAATAAAAGTGATTCTCATTAAATTCCTCCCCGCAGTGCAATGTGCATTTAAACGATAAAATAAAAGAACGTGGTGATATTCAGAATCAACATAACCTCGAAAGCAGAAGCAACTGTCTGTCCGGAAGTCGTATTGACTCTTGTATTAGATGTGTAAGTCTGTAATTGTGTTGAAGATTGTGACTTTCTTATGCCAGTCTGTTTTGGTTTTTGTCGTCTGGTTACTTCGGTGGAGCTCTAAAATAACAAGGGTTATTGAACTAGATTGCAATCAAATAAACATGAGATTATAAAAACTCTTACCTGATCCTCCTGGATGCTGGAAGGTTTTTTGACTGGCAATGTGTTATTTCTCTTGTATCCGTCTGCGCGCATTGCACCACCGGGCGCTGAGTTCATGCGCTCTAGAGTGCGCGGCACAAATGCCGGAGCTGCTGCTGGTGGAGGTGGTGGTCGGAACGACTCTGGCTCAACTGAGACCGGCAAAGTGGCCGTGGGCCGCTGAAAATGTGAATACTTATAGTAACAGACATATGGGTACCGTTTCTGGCTCACAAAAATAACTCTATTTTTACCTCCAAGTCGGTGGAACTAAATGTTCGGGGTGGAGTCGGATGTCTGAATGTTCCAGAATTGTGAGTCTCAATAGTCTGGTCATCAGTGTCATTTTGTATTAAATTGGAGGAACTCTGAGTGTGATTGACAGTTCGGTTTGTTTTTTGAGTAGGTCTGTCTTGTCGGACTAGAGACTGTAGGTCAACAGAACTGTGAGATTTACGTGGTCTCAGCTGGTTTCTGCTACCTCCCCTTACCTGGATGTTGTCGTATATTGACTCTTCTTCTGAGGGACATAACTGGGTTAGTCCCTTAATTAATACAGTACTTTTTATAAATTAGTGCTAAATACTGAGACAATACTATGCTACAACTATTTCACTTCAGCAAACTATAAAAGGGTTTTGATATAATTGGGTATAACACTGAGTCCACAATCTTACCGTTATTGTTGACATTGCCATTTCTAGCTACAGGGCCGCTGATAGTGTTGCTCCTTGTAGCTATGCTCAGTCGGGGACCTTTCAGCCTTGTCTTGGGATCCCTTCTTGGGACGGCAGGTGGCGGGGCAACAGCGGTGGGTGTGGTGGCGGTGGGTTTGGGGGCGGTGGCGGCGGTGGTGGCGGCGGCCACTGGCACTGCAGCAGCGGGGGAAATTAGCGGGTACAGACACGCGGACAAGTAAACAGACAGACATTGTACAGGTAAAAGGCTTCACAATTCATATATAATAATGAATATTACCCATGTGTTACATATTTATGTTTTACTTGTCACATTGCAGTTTAACGTATAAGTGCGCCACTTCTCGGCAAACCGAAACAATGGAATTTATTTTTTGTTCACACTGTGTCAAAGCTAATTATACTCTCACCGACACGATGAGTCATCGTGTCGGTGATAAGTTTTATATTTGACTCAATAAAAAGAGAACAATACGAAAATCATACCAAAGTAATATACATGATACATCATACTGTATCATGTGTCTTTATTGGCACATCGCTATGTTAATTCAGTCACAAGTTAACACTTATTTCCCCACATTACTTTTACTTATTTACAAGCTAAAAACAGAACAAAAGACAAGATGTCAAAACATTATTCCCAACATTTGTAAAGCGCTAATGCTGGCAATAGATCCAGCACTGAGAGCAGCTATATTACAAACCCACGATCTGTGTAGGTATGTATGTAAGTATGTAAGGTAAGTACAGGTGTTAGCACTGACGGAGTACTTACGGTTTTTGGTGACTTGTATGAGGGAGAGGACGAGGGGAGAAACACTTTTCTTGATCATCTCGACTACTTCCTTGTGTGAAGCCACGCTGACGTCCTTTTCGTTGACCTGGGGATGTATTATTATTATACCGATCAGTTTGAGATGGGAGAGGTAGCTTCCGTGCTCGAGTGTTCGAGAACGTTTTAAAAAGAAACAAATATACACAATTTCCGATAGAACAGTCATAATCTAATCTGGACAGGTAATTATGAAAATTGTACCCGGTAAGATTTTTCATTGATGCTACAAGTCGATGTGATTAGGGTGATTTTATTTTTTTAAGTAAATTTAATTAGGGTAGTTTGACCAGATAACTCGCAGAAAAACATGATAAAACATAAAAAATAGAAATTATGCATAATTCAGAAATTCAAAATCTGAACCTTGGACTGAGTCCAAGACTAAAGACTGTCAGCGAAGTTTTGACCCCATACACAGTACACAAACATATTGGTACTCAAATGTCACATTAATCTGAGAAATTGTCCATTGTTTACGTAATTTAGCTGGCAATGAGCCTGAGATTTATAACTCTTATCTCACCTTGTAGATAAAGTCATCAGGTAGAACCCCCGCCTTGTGAGACTCACTGTCCTTGTCCACTCCGAACATGAACTGAGAACAGGGAGCCTCTACTGAGGGAGTGAACTCCTTTTTCTTCTCCGCTAAGCCCTTCACGTGGAACCCGTAACCTCGCTTAGTTTTAGCAATCTTGCAGACCCGGGCTGTCTTGATTCTGTGGGGCAGATTATTTATTTGAGATGCTACTTGACAGTCTAAAACTTTTACCAAACACTCAACAAGGAAACTGTGGAATCCTAGAATTATTCGAAGTTCAAATTCATTTCATTAGTTGAACAGTTTAGGACTGTAGGACAGTAAGATCACGAGAAGATCTGGATGAGAAGAATAAGACTTACAGTTCTTCTAGAGTCATTTGTAGTGTAGTATTACTTGGAGCCGGGAATTCTGAAACACCGATACTATCATTAACACAATTATATGCAGTAACAACTTCCTCGAGACAACCGCACAAAGTGACTGTACACACCATGACCCTTGCATAGCCCCTAAATTCGATGATAACTGGGCCGGATGTGAGATCGAGCAAGGATCACAGGTATAATGGGGCACCTCCCCATTTAACATCACATGCTGTTCTGTTCTGCAGAATTACACCTTCTGCAAAATACACCTTTATAGTGCTTCTCTCATTGAGAAATCTTTAGTGGGGGTGCCACTCGTTTATTAAGCAATCGTATAGAAATGCGTACAGCAATAATTCTCAAATATAATTCGTCTTGATTTCGTTGCTATCTCTAACACGAACTGAACAATAACATGCACATTTAAATTAATCTTCGGAATGCTTACAATCAGCAAAACCCATGTATTCAGAGTAGTGTAAATGAAGTAAAATGACCGGCAGTATCCAAGAAACCCAACCCAGTCCGCGGACTACACAGTCGTTCCTCTTGGATACTGCCAAAATACATCATGCAGAAGAAAGGGGCTGTGGGAAATTGGAAACTCTTTTTAACAGAAAGAAACAACGTACACTTTATAATAATTGGTGCCACACGAAACTTTAAATAGTAAACAATATTTCCTAAGTTATAATTTCCAAGCTCCAACACAAAATCATTACATGTATCTGAATCTGGAAATGTACATATTGAAATCAGTGTTAAAGTATTCTGTTCGACATGCTTCAAAATCTTGCAATCAAATGTAGAGTGTATTCATGAATCGTGATCATATCCATTTAAATTCTCAAGGATATCATCCAATAAGATTAAACATACCCAAAAAATCATGGAGTAAAATCATATATATATTACGAGTTCTGAGGACGATCTCATAATTTCAGTACAATCATATGTTTTGTGCATAATGGACCAGAATAGCTGATTATTAATCACCTATTTCAGTTCTGACTTATGCTGCAGAGTTCAATCAAATGAAATGCTGCACACTAACGAACAGGTAATCACATGACATGCGGACATACCGGCTGGCAGGGCCCGCAAACTAGACGCAGTGGAACTGGCACTGGAGCTCGCTCCCATCGAGTTCGTCCTGGTTGGCTCCACGGGAACAATGACCTTCTTTTCTACGGGAGCCTTTTTCGGCTTTTCCGGAGCCGCTTTTTTCGGCTTTTCCGGAGCCGCTTTGCTCGGCTTGCTTTTGGAGTTGATGGAGGATGAACGTGTAACTGAGGCACCCGAACTGAGGGATCGTGAGTGGCCAGCTTTCTTGGGTTGTTCTGAGCCGCTGCTCTTGTTGCTGCTGACACTCCCTTCTCGAGGAAATGCTGGTTCTTTCTTCCGGTTGGTAAAGGTTGGGGAGGTCGCAAACGGTTCTGGAGAATATTGGAGGTGTAGGGTGAATTCATAGAACAATATCATTCTTGTAGGTCAGGGATGTGCTGACCTATCATTATCTTACCATTTCACCATTAACCATTTGTTGTCGAATTTATCATGGCGTAATAGCTTAAAAGCGAAAATGGCTATTCAGTAACGACAATACCCCGCTCTCCCCTAATGAATTAAGTTGATACGGGTATTCGACCAAAAACACGGCGATATCTTTTGTTAAATACTACGAGAGAAGCTTGCAACAACTTGACGACTCTTTACATGTGGAGGTTATTTTGGGATAAATTAGTGTTGACAACACACTTTACATGACAACTGGGCTGTTTTAAGGTTTGACAGAATGTTCATTAACGTTAAAACTACTAGTTCACGTCCAGACCAAAGAAGGGACGTTAAAACGCTGAGCAAGAAGTTTTTATAAAATTACTTTTTAACTTACCATTTTCACACCAGTCTGTCAGTGTTTAAAAATACACATTATCTGTTTTAATAAACAAGTTCAACAAAGGAATATTGACGATCCTTTGCCTTATGAGTTCAAAGAGACTATTAAATTGTAAGATTATTACTGATATGTTAATTTACAGTTAGGTAAACCTACCAACTATTTCGAGAGGCGACTTTGCCGGTTTATTTTCACCAGGGACTCCCAACTTTTTGTTTTTCTTCTTGCGAAGACCCATACCTCGCCCGGCTGTACATTGTATTCAATAAGGATTAGACGGCAATGAAGCAATAGTGTGAAAAATATAAGCGCAAACAGCCCACAATAAAGCACAAAAAAGCGCAATTAAAGTTCACAATTTTGATCCAAATAATAAAGCATCAATATTACCGACCCAAGATCAAAGACAAAGTAAAAAAAGCAGTCAAACAGGCCACACAAAACAAACTAAAACTAGTGTACAAGTAAATGTGATACAATTTCAAAGCTACTAAGACAGGGCTGTTAAAGACAGAGGAAGTACGGTAGATCATCTACAAATAATACATGAAAATAAACACTCACACCCAAGAAGGCTGCTACCGCACCAAACGTCATTAACATCATGATTTAATCAATATATCACAACCGTTGGTAGACTTTTCTGGGCACTAAATTCAATCATGATATGCACAAAGATGATTTCATTTCAATTTACGGACGTAATTTGTAAATTTTAATGACGATGTCACTGGAAACATAATTTTCCAATGAGATTCACCACAGTAATTACTATACAGGCCTCACACTCAACGAATGACGCCCGGTTTACGTCCAGCCAATGAATTGTTAAGGAGCGGGAAACAGCTCAATCCAGATTCCTCCCGATATCTCTGTCATGAAGCTTACAAAGGAAGTAGTGTTAACATATCTACATTCTGATAACATTGGTTACAATGGCACAGTAGGTACAGTAGGACAGTATCTAACAATAACGAGATACCTTCTCATCAGTGCCCGCTGCCTATTAACGTCCTGAAGTGGAAACATTTCCGGAGCATTGTCTCCACCTCTCGCCCATGTAAAAAGCACATACAAAGGATATAGACTATAGATCCAATCATCTTCTAATCAAATTATTCTATATAATATGATGTGACGTTGGATATAATCACAATAACCGGCTCCTGTGACTCGTTATGATACATGGAAATTAGATAACACCGCTCGGATACCACACTTTATACACACGGTAACACGGCCCTCTAGATATTCCACAACTATAAGGTCCAGAATAAGGTCACCAACTTAGTTTAACAATTGAGTATTTCATAGTTTTGCGCAAGTGTTGATATGAAGATGTGTCTGCCTGTACTTGGAGATCCCATACTCATTTTTTTCATATATTTTTCCAGTTAGTATCGCCAACAATGCCAGAACAAGGGAGCCAGCGGTCCAAGCATGCACGTGAGCCAATTTAAAGAGAGATCCAGGGATGGTGTACACATAAAACTGAAGGACAAATGACTATTTCATGGCAAATGTCGCATGTTAACAATTGTTAGACACCCAAGATCTCGGACGAAGAGAGTGTAAACAACACTAAGGAGTAAGGACAACTCTGTTCAGAGAGTGTGCGAGAATGATGAGCTCCTTTTCTCGTGGGCATTCCCTTCAGCTGAATACCATTATATTGTTAATAAAGTGCTAGGCGGTCGGTCCGGAATAACAGATCAGATTACATCGATACTAAATGTTCCGCTCACAGCATTGCAGCCAGTTTCAGTGGTTCAACCACGGTAAGTTTTACTGGATTACGTAATGAGTAACACGCGGCGGCAAACTAAATAAAAATATCGTCGGAAAAATTGACAAAAATAACGGAAAGATACTGCACTAAGGGGGTACAACAAGCGGTAGAGCAAAATACTAGGGGTCGGGTTATTCTAAGTGCATGTAACGAATAGTAGAGTGTATTAACGTTGACAGGTTGTTGTTTTTAAAGTCCTAACAGAAGTTACATTGCTCTGCTATATGTCATGGGTGTCCTGACTAAACTATGACATTCATTCACCGTTCATATATTACGCGCGTATATGATTTGAATTATTATGCAGTTTTTATATGCGCAGTAAATGCGTGAACGTTTTTATGTTCAGGTTGAGTGTCTATTTGAATGTTCTGGAATAAATTGTGTTAAATCACTGGGATTGTTTGAGACAGCAACAGAGTAAAGGTAAAGCAACACTACCGTCGTTCAAAACAACGAATGATTATGTTTTGGCACGCGACTCCCTTGTTCGCCCATGTAAGGATGTCATCACATTATCTACACTCCACATTACAGGTACTAAGCAGCCTTAAAAAGTTGAGGTAAACTGTGACGGGCCATACTTTCATCTGCTTAATAAATTTGACCCCAAATGAAATACGTATTTTATTAATCAAAGGGCACAGACACAATGCTTTGAGCGTTAAAAGGTACAACAAGTTTGCAGGCGTTTCGCGGGTTTGCGGGTGGTCCGAAATTTCTATTTAAATTTGTCGGAAACTTGACAAGCGACTTTAAAAAAATACATAGTTCTACACAATAACGTACATAACCAAATGGCTAAATTTGCAACAAATAGTATCTTGATGGTGGTGGAGAAACCAGAGCAATTATGAAATGAGTGTTAGTAAATTCAGCTCATTATGATTAATCTGCATCTGTGGTACAATTCAGACATCAAATATCATTAACAATGTAGGCTGAGTGTCCCCCGTAAGGGACTAATATATTAGCAAATTAACAAAAGTTTCGAACTCAACATGAACATTATAAAGAAACAGATCAGAAACATTGTTAAGAGCCGGAAAACAATATCTCCCATTTCTAAGCGTTCTCGATTCCCATAATGTACACGCAACATGAACAGATGTACCTACCTAGCTTCTGTACTATAGCTATAAGTAGCTACTATATAACCGCGTACAACTATAGACGCTGTTAATATTGTGATGTGTGATTAATAAGCTAGCTACACAGAACATAATGTTATGGAAATATACGAAATGTGAATAGATGGTAGATAAGAAGCTAAGACAGAGCCAGATTTACAATGATTCCGATGTGTAGTGTCCACCTAGTGATCAGTAAGTAGGTTAGGTAATGTGTATTTGTGATCCTCTTAATTACAGCGGGGACTTCATCAGAGGCGAAGCAAAGGGGAAATGACGTAAATCGAGGGAGTGCTGTCAAAACTCTCGCGAAGCTCAATATAAAGTAAAACATGCATAAATGATCTAAGACATCATTCAGGGCAGTTCAGAGCAAACAGAACAAATTTTAAATCTACAACAGTAATCCACTGTACAATCAGATTACTGGTGGACTTTAAAAAGCCAATTCAGAGAAAAGCCAATTCAGAGAACAATCAGAGGCAATATTTTCTCCGGAATTACTTTCGATCTCATTTCACCGCCGAACGATTAAGCTGCAGGAGAAGAGATTAGGGCCGTGCATATGAGGGGCTACCCAGTTCTTTGGATCGAGCTATAACAGTAGACAATTTGGAACACGCTATATTCGGATTCAGCTTGCTAGGTAACATATCGGACTAGAAACATGACACGCAGCGAGGGAGAGAGAGAGAGAGTACAAACGGCAGCTCGGGGAGAGTGAAGCCATCCGACTGGACTCAGGAATTATTAAAATTGCGGACACCTGCTATATAGTGTTTGAGAGGGGGAGTGGCCTACAGAGACAATGAAACATGCCGATATTTGTAAAAATGTCACGAGTTTTCACCGAATTACATACGATTACACACAGGTCACATAGCAATGACGGTGTTATATTAGATTATAAGAGCTGGAATATGTGTTACGGGACGAGAGATGATGACAATGAAACACCGAGAATACCGCAGTGAGTTCAAATGACAATGGTCCTCAGTTATAGAGATTAGGTTTCTTAATTTCGAGACCGTTTGTTAGTAATTAATTCATGTAATTCGTACATCATGTATTTGTAATGTGGTCATTTCGCGAATTTTTCGTGTGGCTGTACACATTGTAATCCATCAAAACTTTTCACATTCTGGTATTAGAATTTTACAATGAATCAGGTAATCTGACTCGTGAATAGATTATACTTTTGCTAACCATGTGCGTCTTTTCGTCACGCTATCTTGAATCAAGGCAAGGCAAGAGCACTTTTATCTACGTTTTCATATTGATTATTCGGATAATTGACTCTGAAAGAGTCTGTTTAAAACCTATTGAAGAATAATAAAATGAACATGATATCCTTTTGTGCTGTAACATTATATAGGTGGACAAATTAGAAGGCAACGGTATGAAATATTGGAGCATTATATCACTTGAGCATTCATATTGATTATTCGGATAATTGACTCTGAAAGAGTCTGTTTAAAACCTATTGAAGAATAATAAAATGAACATGATATCCTTTTGTGCTGTAACATTATGTAAGTGGACAAATTAGAAGTCAACGGTATGAAATATTGGAGCATTATATCACTTGAGCATATTAATGGGGGTGGGATTCTAGCC